GGGCCTCGGAGCGGCCATTTCTTATCAGCAGGAGCAGGAGCTGGAGCGGGCCGGGCCGGGCCGGGAGGAGCGGCTTCCCCGAGCTGCTTTTCTGAGAACCCGGCCTGCCAGCTTGCCGTGCTCCGGCCGAGCCAGAGGCCTCGCTCCGGCCGAGTCAGGCTGTTGCAGAAAGAAACTCGTGGGCGCAGCAGTAGCCACCTGCACAAACCACTTGCTCTTTGCTTGCTCTCTTTGCCCCATGGCAGCCCCTTCAGAAGAAGGGAACAGACTTCTCTGAGAAGATGTAACACACAGGCTAGCACAAACCCTTCCTTACAGGCTCCCTCTTCCCTTTTGTAAGCTCCTCTCTCATTGTTGTCCCCCAAACTGGATCTGTCACAAGGACAGATCATATCTCACTCCACCATGGGCCTTCACGAGGGACAACCTGCACGTATAAAAAAACCCACATTTAAATGATTGTTTAAGAGGAGTGAGCTTAACGACTCTAATCAGGCTGACAAAGTCAAGTGCTGCATTTGAAATGTTTCTGTATGGAGCTGTGGGTGGTACGGCTGGATCCTCTCCCTCCATGTCTTTGGGTGGAACTACGATGGACACTTGCATTGTTTCCCGAAGCAAAGCAGGGACTGCAACAAAAGTGGCCAAGAAAGAGCTCTTCCAGCCTGAAACCCTGCCAGTAACAGCAGTCTCCACATTCTCGGCTTGCTGGGACCTGGAAAGCTTTTGCTCCCTTAAAATAAGACTCATGGTGAATGAGGAGGTGAAGCATCACCACTGATCACACAGTTCTCTGCACGGATAATTTCTGTGCCTCACTTCTGCAGGAAAACCCAGCACAGGAAGCCTCATCCCTTTATGTCACTGTCGTGGAATGATACAAGGAGACAAATCGGCTCTGGTGGCTTTCCAGCCATTTCTTCTGCATTAAAAAGGTGGGGGGAGGCAACAATTACCTGCACAAGCTGGGTCCAGACTGGTCCCTGCTCAGGGATGGCTGCAGCTGAGGTACCCAGAAGCTGTTGGCTTTCGGTGTAAGACAGCTTTGTCTGAACCCATGGTGCCTTCTGCCCCTGTGCCTCACACTACGGTCTCACCATGGTCCCAAATTTCCCCAGTTGCTGCGAGACAGGAACTGAAATGCAAAGTGTCACTGACTCTGCTGAGGGACACAAGCCTCTCAGCAGAGCCAAATACTGCTTTGAGGCATTGCCAGTGCAGGAGAGACCCCACATGTGCACCAAGATCATTTCCAGTGACAGTACTGGTCAACAAACCCACCTCCATGTCAGAGCAAATGGGTCTGGGGCCGTGGAGTGGACACCTCTCCACAGCAGGTCTTTCTGGCAGTCTGACAAGCATCATGCAGGGGTGACACTGACACAGTCAATCTGGCCATGACCAGAGAGGTGGACCACATGCCCTGCATGCATTGTGCTGTGCAGACATCTTCTACAGGAGGATCCCACAGGGCTTTACAGGGATCCACAGGTCACCATGGCCGCCCAGCACCGAGGAGCAGCCTCACCCCAGTTACAGATGGGGAGACCCCGGCACACTGCACACGTGCACTCACATGTGACAGAGGCAGGGCCGTGGCTCGTGGTGCACAGCGATACGGGCACACCAGAGCGCATGAGCAAGGCGATGTCCTGATGCGTGTCAGGCAGATTAGCAAATGGTCTTGACATCACTGCAGGCAAGGTGCTGCTGGTGAGCCCTGAGAGGCAGAGCTGAAGCTGGCGGGCGTGTTTGCACCCAGCACCACTGCTCTATCTGTCCTGCTGCAGCCCAGCACCCCTCAGGTGCTGAAAGTGCCAAATTTGTGGTTACGAGTTAAGGAAGGTGTTTTCCAGCTCTTGACCAAAATGATCTCCGGGGAGACGTGTGCTGCCATGCTGCCGAGCAGGACCCTGCTCTAACCAGTTTGGCTCTCCAGTGCCTGTAGGAAGTTTTCTGCTGAGGTTCTGTCCAGGAGAAACAGGTTATGTTTATCTCATGCCACTACTCACATTTCCTCTCTGCTGTTAACACTAAGTGTGCCAGCGAGGCCGAGCAGTGGGCAGGCAAGAACAGGGCATCCTGTCCAGCAGTAAAAGACTCGGGTGGTGTGTGTGCAACTTCTTGGATGGTGCGTGAGTGCTCGGGCAGTGGCTTCTCCATTAACAATGATTCTATGATTCTGTGATCAGTTCCCTTGGGTATTTCTGTCTGTGCGTGGGTGGGTGCAGGGGGAAGGTGCCTTCCAAGGAAAAATGTCAAAGCACACATGGTGCCCTTTGCCATCACTGGCTATTGGCACCATTGGGCCATCCCCCACAGAGATCTTCACCAAAAATCCTTGGAGCAGAGGAGAGGCAGCACTGTGCTTCCCCTCTCTCAGCCACGGGGGCTGCAGAGCAGGTGAGAGACAGGGGCACTTTGCAGATGTGTGGAGGAAATGGCAAATTTCTTCCACTGACGTTGATGTCAGTACTCAAAGTGAAAAGTCATAGATCATTTAGAGATAAACCTGACACATTTCCGTTTCTCTGTCCACGAAAGAGGTGAACTCATTGGCTTGGGGCTTTGTATGTCTTTAAGGTAACACGTATCACACAGAGGAAAAGGCATTTTATGAATGTGCACTGCTCAGGTGAGGACCTTGCCTGTGACTTGTCATTGCAACACAGGGTAAATAATGCTGGCATGGATGTGTGAAGGTGTGCCTGCTTCTCAAAAGTCTGTGCTATAAAGGCTTTTTTTTCACTCTTTCAGACACAGTGTTGGATTATGGAGGACAACTTGACGTACCTGCTGGGCAGAGAGGCCTCTGAGGACTTGTCGGTGAGTCATTCTCCACCAGGCTGCTGCCCTGCAAGCCAAGGCCAGTAGCACATTTAAGGGGTCCAGTTTTGCCTGGGTCGGGACAATGAGGGTTTAGAATGAATCAGCACAACTGTTGTTCTCTGAAAAAAAAACAGTGAGTGAAAATATCTTTGGCTGACGAGACCAGGGGATGTGCTGCCACCCATCTTCTTTAGCTGTTTGCTGTCACAGGTGCTGCCCAGGGATGCGGTGGTTGCTGCTGGGGGGCTGTGAGGGGCTGGGGAGCAGGGAAGGGGAACATCATTGCCATTGATGCATCCTCACAGGTGCCAGGAGAGCAGAGTTGCTGGTGTTGGAAGGAAATCCACCCGTCCCTGTTAGCAGAGTAAAGTCTTGGTGGGCATGAGCTACTGCTAGCAGCAGTTGGTGCTGGCACAGGCCAAGAGAGCAAAGTTCCTGCTGGGGAGGGGGGAATAAGGGGCAAAACCTCTCATCTGCTGTTTGGCAAGTTGCCCCTTGGGCCAGCGCTGCCACTGCTGATGCCACCCAGGGTGGAGAGTGTGTAATGTGCAGCGCCCACCAGTGACCGGTACATGCTGATGCCTTCACAGCTGAAAACCTGCTTGAACCATGTGGGAATCCTCAGCAAAAGTATCTTGTCCCTCAAAGGGGAATGTCTAGCACTCAGCTACCTGGAAATGCAACTTTTAGTAGATGAGCACTGACATGTCAGTTCCTCCCTGAGCACTGCTCCCTTTCTCCTTTTTGAAGGAAATGTGGAATAGGACCCTGAAAACTTTGTCAGGGGCTCTCAGCACCATGGCCATGCCCATTTGGTTGCTGGCTTGGGGATGCTCCCTGGCTCTGGCCCCGGTGCCCCACCACATCCACCTGGACTGGAGGACCCACATGGAGCGGGTGGGGATTACTGGTAACCTCTGGTTTACCACCACATCTGGATTTTCCTTTATCTCCTCTGCCCCTCTAGTGCAAGAACCTCATCTCAGATCTTGCAGGTCATTCATGTTCATTCCTTATTTGCATCCTCCAGCACAGCCGAGGCACAGCTGTTCTGTCCTCATGTGGCTTGGTGTGAGCTGACTTGTGCCTAGTATATTTACTAAGAGGGTAATTTGGAATTTGGGCCTCATTAACTTCATTGTCCTTGAACAGGTGGGTTACATGTCGCCAACATCTAACTCCTCTGCAGCCTATGAATATGCCTTCTTCTACCCAGAACTGCACCTCAGCTGTGATCTTGAAAACATTCCAGCATTTGCATCAACCTTTTTTCCAGTGCTGTACTCCCTACTGTTTGTGACTGGCCTTGTGGGAAATGCTTTGGTTGTTTGGGTCCTAACAGTCTTCAAGAAAGTCAGGGCCATGACTGACGTGTATCTGCTGAACCTCGCCATCTCTGACCTCCTCTTTGTCTTCTCCCTCCCCTTCTTGGTTCAGTACTCCATCAGGAGCCAGTGGACTTTTGGAAATGTGATGTGTAAAATCATCAGCTCAGCTTACTTCATTGGTTTCTACAGCAGCACCTTCTTCATAACCATTATGAGTGTCGACAGGTACTTGGCCATTGTCCGGTCTGTCTATGCCCTACAGGTGCGGACAACTGCCCATGGGGTTATCATCAGCCTGGTCCTTTGGGCAGTGGCCATTTTAGCATCAGTGCCAGACTTAATTTTTTTCCAGGAAATGAACTACAATAACCAGACAAAGTGCATCCCTCACTATCCTGACAGCAACAACGGCTGGAAGACTTTCAGTAATTTTGAAGTCAATATCCTAGGGTGGCTGATCCCTGTTGGTGTCCTCATTTTCTGCTACCACAGCATCTTGAAAAACCTGCAGAAGTGCCATACTCAGAACAAGTACAAAGCAATGAAACTGGCTTTTATTATCGTCATTGTGTTCTTCCTCTTCTGGACCCCTGTCAACATCGTGCTTTTTCTGGACTCACTGAGGAACATGTACATCATTGACGACTGCCAGACAAGCCAAAGGCTAGACCTAGCCATGGAGCTGTCTGAGGCACTCTCCTTCATCCACTGCTGCCTCAACCCGGTCATCTATGCCTTTGTGGGTGAGAAGTTCAAGAAGCATCTCCACGAAGCTTTCAGAAAATGCGCACGTTTTCTGTTCATCTGCAAAGACTACCGCGCTTTCGACGGGCGCAGCCTGGACAAGCACTCCTCTCTGCCCGCCACTTCCTCACAGTCCTCTTTTGTTGGCACTGTCTTGTAGAGCTACAAGTCAAAACCTTTCATCCTGAACAGGTGACCTCAAGTTGAGAAAGCCTCCTCCCAGCAGGGCATCCAAAGGGATGCACTGTTTGGACAACCTGTTAGGACAGGAAAAGTGGAAGCAACTGCCTGAGATTGCTTCTATTGTTGCTTTTGGTTTTCTTACCTTGTAGTGTCTTTTTTAGCGTCTTCCTCCCTTTCCATTGACATGTCCTGCCCTGACTGCTTTGTGAAAGGGAGACTGAAATTACCTGCAGACTCCTGCACTGCCCAAGCAGCACAGAGAGGTACCTTAGAAACTTTTCTTCTCCCACCTCAGATTCAGTGCTGAAAGGAACTGTTTATGTTTCCAAACTCAGAACATTTGCTTGCTCCTTCCCTCATCTCAGCAGCGTGGATTGGCTTTGTAGGCAGGGACAAGGTTCACAGCAGGAGCGGGAACTGACTCTTTTGAAGGAAGTTTGCCAAAGTTCAAGGCATCAAGCCAGGGCCTGACTCCCAGTTGACAGATCTGAGCAGGAGTTCCAGCCCCAAAAGAGCTCAGCGAGTGAATAATTAGATAAGCAACAAAGAAATAAATGCTATGCATGTGTTTTGTCAAAATCAATGTGGAGGAATATCTAGGTATGATCCTGACTCCCCATCTGCTACCAGGGCCTTCAGCTCCTGGGCTGGAAGGGTTTGGAAGTTGTAGCCTAGAAATGACACTGGGGGTGTCAAGAGAAAACCTATGTGGGAATGAATGAGTGTCCTAGGAGTGAGTGGAGAAATAATTACTAGGCAAAAAAGGCTGAAGAGTGGAAAAAATACTGAGAATGAGCTGAGAGAGCCGTTAAGAGTCCTGTGACAAAGCTTCCTGTGGACCTGCTGGCTGGTAAGCCACAGGCCAGGGTAGTGGCTGCTCTCAGCAGAGCCCTGACCCGCTGGCTGAGGATCTGGTTGTTCTGCAGATGCCCAAAACAGGAGCGAGCAGGACACAAACAGGTAATACACCAAGCATCCTGGAACTCAAGTGGTATCTAAAGAGGACAACACTAGGGTTGAGTGGCCACAGGCTCCAGAGATGCCTAAAACCCAGACAACACTCACACTTCCCCGTGAGGGAACTTTTTAAGCAACTGATGTGCCAGTAAAGTTGCTGCTCTTGACCATACAACTGGGGTTGACCTCCCAGTTCCAACTTGGTAATTGTGAATGACTGATTTATATGTGAATGGTTGCCCTACCCATACACATACATACAGAGGTATATATATATATATATATACACACACACATGCACATACATATATATACATGCAAGTGTGTGTATATATACACATACATATACATATGCATCTATATCTGTATCTTTTTAATATATACAAATATTGAGATAAATGCAATGGTGTTCGCAAGCTCTTAGTCCTGATTTATTTCTCCCGACAAGATATCACCACATTTGAAGTTTTATAATAAAGATACTGCACACAGTGCAATTGTACAATCCTAGGAACCTATTTCATCTTTAATTCTTTCAGCTTCTGCATTTTCTTCTGTCCTGGGCAGTTCTACAAAACTAACAATTCCTCCAGCTGCCTCTTCTCTCCCTCCTCTCTCTCCCTCTTCCTCCTCCCCTGGGAAAAAGAAGCAGAGTAGAGTAGATCATCTTTTATTCTAGAAATTTAATTCCCTGTAAGAGTCTGCCCTTGTAGTGTTTCCACACATACTCGGTACCCTTGGGCTTACTTCCAAGAGCAGAACAGAACAAAACACGAAATACAGTTCTTTTAAACCACTGATCTTCTTTGGACAGCTATTTTAATGTGTACTCATATTTGCAATCTGCAAGGTACAATCTTTTGCAAGAATGAACGGGTCAGTAACAGAAGGTGTGTAAGAAATACATGCTGCCTCATGTGGGCCATGATACCCCTTCTCCAAACTGTGGAGCAAAGACTGACCAGAGGAAAAGGTTCAGCTGCTGCCTGGGTCCCAGCAGCAGGATCACAGCCAGGTTCAGGTGCCTCACCACCCTCAGGCAACCAGGCTTTTTTTAAGTATGCAAACACTTAAGTGCTCTAGAAAGTGATTCACCAAACATCAGGACAAAGCCAAAGGGTGGTGGGCAGGAGGACAGCACCAGCTATCTCCCTCCTCTGCAGATTCACAGCGTGAGCCCTCTAGATCAGACCTCGCTCAGCTGAAGCACAAGAGATGGGAACAATTTCTGCAGCCCCATCCTGCAACCCTTGTGTGAGTGCTTTGGGACAGGTGCTGGAGCCCATTTGCCCAAGCTGGCAAGAGGATGGCCCTTCCCTAGTATGCTGAGCATCTCTGCTAGGGGATATGTCTCTTTTCAGAGGTTTCATCTCTTGCTGTGTAGCTGTTGGAGTGATGCTGTGACCCAGGGCTTCCCCCCAAGGGCTGTAACCCTGTGGCATGAGCGCAGCATAAACATGCAGAGCCTTCTCTGCCAGGTCTTTCATTTATCTAGTTCTCACTAGAGTCTAAAGGGCACCTTCCCCCTGCTGCTGCCTCGCTTGCAAAGCCTTCCAGTGGGGAGGTGGGAGATGCTTTCTGCACCTCAAAGAACTTCCTGCCAGAGGCAGCTGCCTTCCTCCATTGCAGCAGCAACACCAGGAGCCCTGAGCTGGACCTGAACTCAACTTCACCTTGCAGCCCAACTGCTTTGAGCTGCTGCTGCTGCCTTCCTGTGCAAAGGCAGAAGGTGAGACCCACATCCGGAGGCTGCACGGCTGGCAGGACCTGCCCTGTGTCACTGTCAGTGGCCAGGAATATCCCTGCAGGTCTCAGAGCTCCTCTGCTTTCTGAAGGGACAAGCCTGGGAGCAGTCTGCTGCCCTGCCAGTGTCTGTGAAGGCACTGAGAGCACAGGAGAGCAGGAGACATCTTCTTGTGTCTGTGCAAGCTGCTGGGCAGCTTGAGGGTAATGCCAAACGTTAGGGTCATCCCAAGAGCTGGGAGCACAAGGAGCATCGAGCTGCCGAGGCTGAACCAACCTGCGCAGACCCCATCCATGCCTGTTCACCTGCTTGCATAAAAAGTACCCACGACAGTTGTTACATTGGTCCTGCTCATATCTGCCACTCAGCTTTATATCCTGATCTTGCTTTTTCTTTTTGCTGAGACAACACAGGCGAGAAAGGATCCAGGATGATGTTGGCACATTTAATAGTCAGATACTCTCTTGTTCTGGCTTAAGCGTGTCATCTTAAAACAGAGACTAGAGTAACTGTTACCCACCTTCAAGCTTAAACCTAAAATACACACTTGAAGCCTCCTTCCCAAGGCAACATGGAGACAACATTAATTAAATCCCTGGCAGAATCTCTGGCTTTCAAGTCACTCGTTCAGGCCACTGCATGCAGTCTGGGGATGAGGATGGGAACTTCTGACTTGATCCTTTCCGTAGGAGTCCTCCCAGCCAGAAGCACAACTCTGCTTCTTTCTGCTCTAGTAGCATCCAGCTACACCCAGAGGTCAGAACCAGTCAAAAGGTTTATGAGGCAAAAAAAGGGAATGTTAATGAAGAGTATTTGTGTCCTGCACCTCTCTTGGCTGAAAGACGCTCCTGCACAGGGACGGATCTGCATTAGTATACACAAAACTCCCCAAACCTCTGGTAATTGTATTTGTATATTATTATATTATCCTGGTATTGTCCAGGATAATCCTGTTTTGTTTTCAGCCTCTTGAAAACACTAATTTAGTATGCCAGTTATGAAGCACCATGGAAATTACTAACTGTGCTAGGATTGGATCCAGAAAGGATCACGACCGAAAAAAATAAACGTGACTTTAGGTATTCTACCTGGATGTAAAAAAATTTGGGGAAATTGAAAGAGAATTCTATCCTTAGTCTGAATGTGTCAATTTTAACTGTAACGTGTGGGCTGGCATGTATTTTTTGTTAATATCTGTACCTCAAAGGCATCGAGTAATGCTGGGCAAAGCAAAGCTGCTGCTGTACTACGCCAGTTTGACGCACGGCTTCTGCGTGTCCGTGCACTTCTGCATAAATCTGTATTTTTGCTGACTCGCCTGAAATGCCAAAAATGTACAGAGCCATCACAGAAATCCCCATCTCAGAATAGCACTAGCGTGATTTGGGTTCCCACAGCCTCTGCTGATGAGTGCATCTGCTGGGGCTTCATCCCGACCCAACACCGCTCACGTCTCGTGGCTGGCCGGGGCAGTCCGAGTGGGTCCAGCAGTCAGTATAACCCTGCCATCAGCAGCTGGGTCAGACCTACCATGTAGGATGAGATATGTGCAAGAGAAGAGTGCTACCAAGCAAATAGCAATGTCTGCTGTGTGACCTCAGTAAATCCTGGTTTTCCTTGCCATACTCTGGTATCCAGGTGGGTTTCCCACTGACATTAACGAATGTGTGACATGTGCATGCGTGTCTGCATCACCAAGGCGTTTATGCCCTTCTTCACCCAGCACTCTCTGAGGATGTTTAGTCTCCATAATCCCCCATGTGCTTATGTTTAGAGAAGGTAAAGCACTTGAGTTTTGAGAGAAAAGGGCACTTAAGCACCAAAACCAGCTGAGGTCTTCATGTCACATCTGTCCATCATTAGCTGCCTGGATATCCATGCCTGTCATAGAGGATCCTGCCAAACAGGTTCAGGAGGGGCTTGAGAACAAGGCTATCATGCCTTCAGCCATCCATGATTTTCTCCCTTTTCTGCAGAAAAAAGAACAAAACCAGGCTGTTAACTGATGAAGTGCAGCAAGGTGATCATTCCTTAAAGCCCTAACCATTTCCTGATCCATACTTGGAGATAAATGTCATCTTTCCAGAATACATGAGCCCAGTGCCAAGGTGTGTGTTGCACATGTGAAATGATCTGCAGGGATAAAGCGTGTGCCAAGCTTCAGCTTTGCCAAAGGGAGATGGCACACCGAGACACAGAGCAGAGCAGAGGGTCCCTGCTCATCCCTCCATTTCCTAACAGCTCAGCAGCACGTGCATATGCTCCTTTTCTCTTTC